GTTCAGTAATGTCGCGGGAAATGCAGAGGTCAGAAATGAAAAACAACGGTTGGGGTGTAGAGCACTCAGATCATCTAGGGTCCTGGGGTTAAGGATAAATCAGAAGGTCAAACAATTCTCGACCGGCTCAAGGCAGCCAGTCAAAGCAAAGCATGGCAAAGGAAGAACCACCTTCACCAAGAATGCCACAACTAACCACCACGTTTTAAGCTGACAAGATTTTTCTTTGATTTGAAACAGGGACAAAAATTTCATTTGTTTCGGAGAAATCCTATGTGAAGAAAGAGCAAGTACCAAGCAGGTTTGATTGCAAAGTTCTCAGGACTCTCCTGGAAAATAAGCGGAACTTCGAAGTTTGCGAGCTTGAGGTAGGATTCACAAGAAATTTTCAGGACCCTCCTGAATAATGGGACCTAGCTTTAAGTATTCCATTTGATAACAAGATTTAGTGTAAGTTCTACTGTAAGGGAGTATAATTTAGCCCTAAAAATGTCACTCTTAAGATAAAACTTGATTTTGATTTTCAGGACCCTCCTGGATAATGGGATGAGTTTTAAGTCTGTCTTAGCTAACAAGATTCAGCAGAAGTCATACCTTTAGAAGATGTAATGTAGCTTTGAAACAGGCATTTTACTAGAAGTTTTCAGGACCCTCCTGGATAATGGGATCTAGCTTTAAAATTCTTATAGATATTTGGTAGCATAATTCAATTAACACTCATGGATATGCTCGGCTACCAAACTGGGGCAGAAAAATTTCTTTCGTTTTGTCTATTTTGTGGAAGTCAGGTGCCCATCTGAAGAGCAGGGAAGGACAACACTAGTTTCAAAGAATAGAAAGCAGTTCATACCTAAGCAATCAAGAACCCTCCTGGAGAAACAAGGGAGGACAAGTCAAAGAAAAGTAGTTTCAAGAAGAAGACAGTTCAAGTCAAGCAATCAGGCGCCCACCTGGAGAGCAAGGGAATAAAATTCCAGTTTTGGCAATTAGGCGCCCACCTGGAGAGCAAGGGAATACAATTCAAGTTTTGGCAATCACGCGCCCACCTGGAGAGCAAGGGAATACAATTCAAGTTTCAGCAATCAGGAGCCCACCTAGAAAGCAAGGCAATACAATTCCAGTTTTGGCAATCAGGCACCCACCTGGAGAGCAAGGGAATACAATTCAAGTTTTGGCAATCAGGCGCCCACCTGGAGAGCAAGGGAATACAGTTCAAGTATTGGTAATCAGGAGCCCACCTGAAGAACGAAGGGAAGCAGCAAGTCAAATGTTGGTAATCAGGAGCCCACCTGAAGAACGAAGGGAAACAGTTCAAGTTTCGAGGAAAAGCAATGCAAGTATTGGCAATCAGGAGCCCACCTGGAGAACGAAGGGAAGCAGAGAAGTTCAAAGGAGTTCAGCAATCAGGAACCCCACCTGAAAAATGAAGGAAAGCAGTTCAAGTTTTGAGGAAAAGCAGCGCAAGTGTTGGTAATCAAGAGCCCACCTGGAGAACGAAGGGAAGCAACAAGGTTCAAAGGAAGACAACAATCAGGAGCCCACTTGAAGAATAAAGGGAAAACATCTTAGAATGCAATTCAGGTCAGCAACAAAGCAATCTCATTCAGAGAGTACAAGTCAGCAGGGCAGCAGGAACTGCAAGTTCAAGTTTGAAGATATAGATAGGATTCTTGTAATTCGTATATCATAGTTTAGTTTGACTTCTTTTATTTTGTCACGGTGTAATAAGAAGTTCAGTAAGCAGAAACAGTAGCAATAGCAGCAAAATCACAGCTCTTCGGTAGTACCAGCTACCAAAACTTCTTGAACTACACGCGACCTGATTCCCATATAACCTGGGATATGTAGGTTGTCCAAAACCAAGACTCGGTTGCACTCTTTCTCTTTTCTCTTATCCTTATTTCTTCCCTTTTGAATAAAAATATGTTCAAAAATTAGTCACATGGCTCACCTTATCTTTGCTTCAAAACTCTTCATGTTTCCAAACAAAGAGGGGCAGCTGTGAACACCTAATTTTTGACAATATTTAATTTTTTTAACACTTCTTCTATGTAAATATTTTAGGAGTTTTAACCTACAATTTTTAGCTTTCTTACACTTTTTATTATAGGATAAAAATAAAAAATTTTAAAAGGTGAATTATTACTATTAATATTATTTTATTTTTATTTTTATTTTTAAAATAAAAAAAATTCCGAAAAATATTAATTTTTTTAATTTTCAGGAGTGATTTATAAAATAAGAAAAAAGGGAAGTATTGAATAAAAAAAATAAAAGTAAAAGTAGGTGGAATTCTCTTTTAAAAAGTAAAAGAAAGTAGAAAATTAAAAAAATAAAAGTAAAGTTTTGTGGAAATTTTATAAAAATAAAAAGTAAAAGAAAGTTGGAATTAAAAAATAAATAAAAAGGTATCTGAAAATTTAAAAAAATTTAAAGTAAAAGAATGTAGCATTTTTTAAAGAAAAGCAAAAGAAAGTGGATTGTTTTTTTAAGAAAAGTTAAATAAGTGGAATTCTCTTTTAAAAAGTAAAAAAGTGGGATTTTTAATAAGATAAAAGTAATTAAAGTTGGAATTTAAAAAATAAAAGTAAAGAAAGGCGGGATTTCATTTTATAAAAAAATAAAGCAATTTGTAAGTGAGATTTCGTTTAATTAAAAAATAATAAAATAATAAAAATATTTTTTTTAAAATCTCGAAAATTTTGCTATAAATAGAAGCGAAAATTTGAGAAGAAAAAAGAAAAAAAAAAAGAAGAGAGGGGGAGGAGAGAAATTTAGGTTGAAAATTTTCATTAAATTTTTCTTTCAACATTTCGGGCCTTGAATCTTGGGTTTGAAAAAGAGTTGATAGAGATTTTGTTGTTGCTGCTGTATTGACTCTACAACTTTCAGATTTTATTCATTTGAATTCACTCTCTTGTAGGTATGTAATTCAAGCTCTTGAGTTAAAAAATGTCGGAGCATCTTTATTGAAGCAGAAGCAAATTGATTTGGTTCTTTTGATAAAGTTTCTTTCGTATTTAATCTGTTCGCATGAATGATGTTTCTTTGATTGAGTGAATTGAGATTTGCAAATGTTAACGTTATTTTAGTATGTTCATGACTNTGTTTCTTTGATTGAGTGAATTAAGATTTGTAAATGTTAACGTTATTTTAGTATGTTCATGAATCTGTCTCGTTTTGTTTTTTTTCTCTTTTTTTTTTTTACTTTTTTTTTTTATTTTTCATGGCTCATGACTTGTAACCAATAGGTATTGTTTTGTTTACATTTAGATTTCAAGCCCATGTAGGACCATGTTCATATTTTGAAATTTAAATAAGTATGTGAAGTTGAATAATTTGTCAACATTAAGATGTAAAAAAATAAAATAGATTGTGTTAGTGGAAGGATCTTATCTTCAATTTATGTTATTGGCTGCATATTTTCTTAAATTAACCATGTGAAAATTCAACTTCCTCTTCTTCAAAATGGTACTGTAGAAGTTATAATAGTGATACTACAACTTTCTCTTTAGCATAGTGTTAAATAAATTAATTACTTTAAGTGTTCTTTGTTATAATCAAGTTTAAAATGCATTTTTGTATGTCCATGTTTGTTTTGTTCCTTCTGGTTCATCCGAATAGTTCTCAGCATGGTTTTTTTTTGTGCTCATATGGTCATTTAAGATTCATTATTTTGTTATAAAATTTTGTTAGTTTCTTTCTAGAATTTGAAAACGAAAGTCGGTCTTTTGAAGATGATATGGAGATGAACCCAAAGCTGGCACCTGTCTTTTGTTATTTTCACATAAATGCCAACTCCACCTTTCTGAATTGTAGTATGCTATAACAAAAGGCTCCAGTGATATACATGTAGCTAACCCATTTCTTTAGGCCTTTTGTACTTATCAATTTATACCACTCCATCCACAATAAAACCTCAAAACTCATGGCCCTCATTTAATTAATTTTAAATCCTTAGAATTCGAGGCATACCATTTAACGAATTTTCTATGGCCCTCGCAAAGTTGAAAAATGCGTAGTTTCTTTAGGCGCGTAATTTAAAATTACCTTCCTAAACTCGGGTGTGCATTTCATGTGACCCAAATCCAAATCCCAACAACGTTAAATAAAATGTGTCGTGGACCGCGGGTGCATTTATGTGACGTGGTTCAAGACATATTTTAAATGACGTTGCAATCTTCCTAAAAATGAATAAGAGCGGTTAATAAGTTAAAATTGAACCATAGGCTAAAACATGTATTAAAATCAGATAATAGGCCAATTATAACAGTTGAGCGACCGTGCTAGAACCACGGAACCCGGGAATGCCTAACACCTTCTCCCGGGTTAACAGAATTCCTTACCCGGATTTCTGTGTTCGCGGACTGTAAAACAGAGTCAATCTTTTCCTCGATTCGGGATTTGAACCGGTGCCTTGGGACACAATAAATTATCCCAAGTGGTGACTCTGAATTTTTAATAATAAATGAATCCCGTTTCGATTGTCACTTTAAGTTGGAAAAAACTCCCTTATACCCTTTTCGTGGTGTAGGAAAAAAAGGAGGTGTGACAGTGTTATTACATGGCATGAGTCTGAAAAAGGATTTTTCTTTCTGTTACTGTGCATTGTTAGGATGTGGTTTTTTGGGTGCAGTAAAGGCTAAAGCGTTAACCCCTTGGTGAATCTGCATGTAGAATGGCTGAATTGCTTCCTATATGTTCTCTCTAGCATTATTAAGCCCTCCTTTCGTATAGCAGATTGCAAATAATTGAATGAACCATGGAAGATGTCATAAACTAGTGTTGTGCGATAAGCATATCCATAAGTACTTGTTAAATTTAAGTTCTTTGCCTACATGCCATTTTCTTTTCCCTTAAAATTGTTAGAGTATGATGCTACTGCTTGTCATTAGTGGGAAAGGCAAATAAATGCTAGGAGAATTTATAGATGCAAAATATTTGACATGGTTATTAACCGGAGATCAATGCTATGGGAGTGTTTGTCCTGATGCACAAGGTCGGGTAAAATTAACAATTTAAAAGAGTTGGATTGTGGTTCTTCAACATTTAATGCTTAGTGTAACCTCAGAAAGAACACCATTCTCCTCAAACTAGGTGTAGGATAACATGAAATGGTGAAGTGTATTTACATGATTAGTATCATTTCCTGGAACCACATAAGAACTTGTAAAACTGTTATTGTGTCTTTGTATTGTGGCTCATTCGTTGAAGAAGTTACATATGAGCAAAGTGACCTTCCTTAGATAATTTCCCTTGCATCCACCTCTGGAGCATTTCCAGTGCTGCCTTAGGTTGATCCATTGGAACCATGTGACCTGCATCATGGACCTTGAGGAAAGTCAGAGGCCCATGGTTCTTTTGAATTCCTTTCTCTTCACCATCTACTGTAAAGGGTACGGATCGGGCTGCCCCAAAGTCTTTCTGCCCAGACCATTCCATTGCATGCACCCATCTCGAGTTCCCTGTCCATACAAGGAAAAATATTTTAGTTCTGGATTACAACAACTATGCCCTGAGGCGGATCAAGGATTTAGCCGGATTTAACCTTGATGAGTTGGACCTTTACTGAACTTATTTTGCTTTTCAAATTATTAGTTCAGATATAATATTTGCTGAAATTTTAGCGAGTTTTCATATAGAGATCTATGTTCCACATTTAAAATACTCGGTATGAAGGAACCTGCAGGTTAAGAGCTATATCTGCTCCTGACTATGCCTCAATCGCAAGCAAGTTGAGGTTAATTATATGAATCCTCTCTGAAGGTCGCTCCATTTAAGCTCATCTCACACTGTGGATTGGTAGGTTTAAATAGACTGCACATAATCTAGGACTCTCCCAATTCAAGATTGTACTAGTTCTTTTGGATCACAAATGAATGAAGCTTACCAAGCCAATTGCAGATAAGGTCATATTCCCCCGCGTAGACAAGTAGCTTGATGCCATCCTCAAGAAGTGGAGGAATACCAGCTTCAAGATTCCTCATCCAATCCAATTGCATTGCCTGGTAAACTGTAGAACTGCACGAAACGAAATCAATACCCCCGACACCAAGGGCATGCTTAACTTGTTCATCGTTGAGGAGAGTTTCCATCTTGGAGAAGTCGTAGCAGAGGTCACCAGCACAAGTCTTCCTGACATCATAGTACTGCAGCTCGAAGGTAAAAAATTAACACATTTTATGGTTAGAAATCTGTGTGATCCTAGTTACAATATGATTAGCTGAGAGAGCAAATTAAAAAACTATGCTTTCTTACATTTTTGTCACCCACAACATCCATAATTTTGTTGAAGATGCTTGTGCAAACAAGATATGCAGCCATGCATGCACTTCCACCATCAGTTCCTAATGTTTTTTTTTTTTTTTTTGGCATAGGACAAAGTTGATGTAAGAAATAATGAAGGATTGTGGGATAAAGAAAACAGATTGTGGGGTTTTAGTGAGATAAATACCACAAAGCCTAATAGCCTGTTGACATTTTGGGTATGACTTGTCTATGGCATTGTAATCAGCTTTTTTGATCAATCTCATATCCAATGCATAGTCAGTGTAGGCTTTGTACTGAATTTCTGGATTAGTGAGTCCATTACCAATAACAAATCCCTAATCAAATATAATTCGCACAATTAGTAATTGAGAATTGGCAAAAAGAAAAGAATTTATAGGAGAAGATAAGATAGAAGATGGACTAATTAGTTATAAATACCTTAAGGTTTATGTGAGTTCCTTCCTTGTTCTTGTTACCTTGATGAACCCGAGAAGCAAATGCAGGAATGTAATGCCCAGCATATGATTCTCCAGTGATGTAGAAATCGTTCTTTTCATACTGTGGATGTGCCTTGAAGAAGGCCTAGTGATAAATAAATAAATAAGATAAGGTTTTGTACTTTAAATTTAAAGCTAGAATGACAATATTCAAATTATTTTGATATTAATACTAGTCGAAATTTAGAGGCTTAAAATGAGGAGGAAAAAAAAGGAGGAAACACCACAAAACAGCGTAACACACCTGCAAGAAGTCATAAAGATCATTGCTTACACCCCTTTCGTCGTGACGAATGTCATCCTCGTCAGAACTATAACTGAAACCAGTTCCAGTTGGCTGATCCACATATATTAGATTTGAGACCTATCAAATTGCAATTAAGCTCCATGTTATCATTCTTAACAATCAAAGCAAAAGAGAAATTCAGTTTTAACAATTTGATATTTGAAGTCCATTGGTTTGCTTAATTTGAACTCATCGCATGCAGTTCAAAATTTGCAATTGTGATCATTGCTTGCAAATAATTGATACTGAAAAGCTACTTCAATCAAGAAATCTATCAGAAATTGTTTGAGAGGAATCTTACTTATTCAGGAAAATGAAAGCAAATAAAGTGATTAGGACACTGTCGGTGTTGGAAAAATATTTAGATGAACAGGACACAGGGACTTTACGTGTAAATGAAGAGAAAGCAAAAAGTTGGAAAATTTTGTTAAAAGATCTCAACCGATAATCAAGAAACAAGAAAAAAAGAAAAATCTTTATCCCTTCTGAACATGTAAAATTCTACTAGTCCCAACTAACAAACAGCAGGTAGGTGAAAATATACTTTGCATGATAGAAATTCTTTTGAATAACATCTTGGTAAAATGGAGTATATTCTCATCATAATCTTTAAAAAATCTAACCTTATTTTTTTTTTTAAAAAAAAACAATGATGTTTGAATCAGTGTAGACGCATCTTCAAATAAATTGGCTTAGTGGGTGTTTGGACGTAAGAATTGTAAAATTCCGGAAAAAAGTGGGAAAAAAAAATTCGAATGAAAATGGTATTTGAAAATTAGAATTATGTTTGGACATGAATATAATTTTGGGTTATTTTTGTGATGTGATCTGAGTGAAAAAATTTGAAAAATGGCTTTTTGGACTTTTTCAAATTTTTGAAAAATTCCAAAATTCATTTTCAAGTGAAAATTAAAAAATTTATGAGCCAAATATTAATTTAGAAAAAAATGAAAATTTTTCGAAAAAAAATGAAAAAATTTTCATGGTCGAACGGGAATGTTTAAAGAAAAGAAGGAAGGAAAAACGAGAACCTTGTCCCAGCCGAAATCATTCCAGACAAGTGACATATTGTCTGCTATATTGAAAGGTCNCTTTTTTTTTTTTAAGCCTTTTCCTTTTTTTACAAGAATAATTTTCTTTATTTATCTTATCCCATAAAATTCAGTCTACTCACTGCCAATGTTTTTCCTGTAGCCTTTTCCTTTTTTGACAACACTATTTTTCCTTATTTAATTTCTCCCATAGAATTCAGCTTAATTGCACGAATCCATGTAGGAAAAGAATAAGCCAATTATTCCTATAAAAGATGATATGGTTCCACATTGTTCATTATTCTCTAAAGGTTTTAGCGTAGAACGAAGTAATTTTCTCCAAAGGTATTATTAGTTCTCTTTATTGTTCCCGTTTTTATAACCTTATTGGTGAAATTCTTTTATTTTAGATAGATTTCCAGTATTCTCCAATATGTTACTATTTCAACTTTATTTTTGAGCTACATGTTAGTAATTTGACAAATTCGATTTTTTTACTTAAATTGGTGTGCTGGTCAAAATTTTGCTACTTCATTGCCTATTACCCCTCTGTAAAACTATTCCCTAAACTTAATATCAATACCTTTGAGAAACACGTTATACATTGTAAATATTACTATATTTGACAATCTCTTATTATATTGTCCAAATCCTACACCTAATACTAATACCTTTAGGAATGTGTTATACTTCTTAAAGATTCTTATATTTGGCAAAGTCTTATATTGTCCAATCCATTCCTATTACTAATTTGATTTGAGAACTTATTATATTGTCTGAATCCATTAGAAAAAGGGAGTCAAACACTTCTATAAAAGAAGCCACTGTTCCATATTCTCCATCATAAATTTATTGAGAAGTATTACTCCATAACATAATTCTGTAAACTTTGTGATTCTCTGCAACCATTGCGGAAGGTATTATTTCTTCTGATTAATATATTTCATTATTGATCTTATCAACCAAGTTTTATTGCTTTGGTATTTCAAGTTAGAAAGGGCCTATAATATTCTAGCTTTTAATTTTAGTAAGTATCTGTTATCTTTAGAGAATTACTCCGACTATCTAATAAAGATAAAATTATGATATTCACAGTTTTCTGTTATGACACAGATATTTGTTCGATTTAGACAGATGGCAGAACAAGGTAACAACAACAATAATTGATATTTCTTATTCTTGAGCATATGCTAATAATTAATTTATAAGTTAATTGATTATATAAATTTTTTGTTGTTCGTTGGTAGAACAACCGAAATTAGCTTATGCCATTCGGAGGATGGATAAATATATTAGTTCAACTGTCGCAAAGCCAAACATACAAAACCATTGTGAAGACTAACAGAAAATTTCAGGTAACCATAACATACTCATTACTTATCATTAAAGTATACATAACAAATTAAATATGGTACTGTAATTGTAATAAATTTTGTAGGAAGAAAGAGAAAAGCAGTTGTGCATACTGAAAATATTGATAAACAGCTCAACCATTCAACGACGCAAATCAGGAATGGTATGTTAATTCAACTATACCTTACTAAATTTGGGAGGTATGCTCATGATTATTTAGTATATTAATGCGGTATATGATAATTTATTCGCTTCAAATAATGGTTGAAACTATCGAAGGTTACACGATAGAAGTCAAAAAGTTCATTGCACTTAAATTTGGTTCCAAAACAAGTACAACAGTACCGGTTGAGTAAATATGATTACACCAAAATACTGATCCTTATGATTTTCACGGACATATCAATCTTACTACATCTTCACATTTAACAGCAAGACATGCCCGACTTGGTGACCAGAGTTTTCAGAGCAAAATTACAAGACTTAAAGGATCAAATATTCAAGAAACAAATATTTGGGGCAGTAGCAGCACATGTATTTATGGTTGAATTCCAAAAAAAGAGGTCTACCCCACATACACCTTTTATTAATACTTAAAGAAGGACACAAGATAACATCACCAGATCAGTATGACAAATATATTATAGCAGAACTACCAGACAAAGACGAATATCCAATATTGCATGAATTGGTTGTCAAGAATATGATGCATGGTCCGTGTGAAAACTATCGTCCATCAAACCCCTGAATGAAGGATGGTCAGTGCAAAAATCACTATCCTTGACCATTTTGTAATAAGTCAATACAAGGAAAGGATGGATATCCTATTTGTAGGAGAAGAAATGATGGGAAGAGCGCAAAAATTTGTGGCATGGTGATGAATAATCAGTGGGTTGTACCTTATAATCCTTACTACTAACTAGATACAACTGCCATATCAATGTTGAGGCTTGCTCCGGAGTGAAGGCTATAAAGTATTTGTACAAGTATATAAATAAAGGTCACGATAGGTGCGCTGTTTATATTAAGTCGGATGATGGGGAAAAAATAATTGATGAAATTAAAAACTTCCAAGATGCGCATTGGGTATCTCCGTCGGAAGCACTTTGGAGAATTTATGAATTCAATCTTAGTAAGATGCAACCTCCAGTCATTAACCTTCAGCTACATCTCCCAGATAAACAAGTAGTAAATTCTTATATCCAACAGTGAACTTTAATCTCTTATTGATCAACCTTATAGTGACCTAGAAAGAGGTTATTTAATTTTACATTCACTGTTAATTACTTATATATATTCAATCACATACTACTGCCATGAATTTTTAACTCTCATTCTTAATAAGATATGAAAACATAGATTTTTATTGTTACAATGCTTTATTGGCATTATCCAATACAAACTTTGATTCGTAAGGCAAATCATAAGCATTTGGGAAGCTGATTTGGTGTCAAAATAGGTAAAGTGTTAGAAAATTTACAGTTCTCTCTCAGCCAATACAACTGGAAAACCTCCAACCAGTGTTTACGACTTTAGATTATAAAGATTAATTCTCTATCTTGTATCATCAAAAAAAGAAATCTGTATAAATAGTGCAAATATCTTCTTTGTTTTTGATGCATTCATATCAACTGTTCCCTCGCTGGTAAAGATTGGAATTTAATTTTGGGATATTACTTTTACGCTACATTGACTTATAAATACCAATTTTTAGTCTATTTCTCTTTGTCATTGATCGATTAGATAAGATATTGTGTTCAGATGTGTATTAAATTATCCAATATATAATTTCTAACGTAATATTTATACATATTAGTGTACTACTGGAAAAGGCAAAATTTGCAAACTGTTATAGCATCAGACAATGTCAAGAAAAGCATGCTCACTGAGTATTTCAAGACATGCTTAACAGACGAGGAGGCACAAATGTATCTATACAAAGAATTTCCAGAGTATTATGTATGGAACTCTCAATCAAAGAAATGGGCAAAAAGGAAAAAAAGATCTGTAATTGGCCGAATTGGTACAGGTAACGAACTGAATATTTCACTCAATGAAGTTTGTATATCTTTCTTTAAATTTCATCTATTTATCTTCTTTCCTTGAATAAAGCAGCTAATCCTAAAGAAGGTGAAAGATACTATTTGAGATTATTGTTGAATCATGTTAGATGACCATTTTCATTTGAAGACTTACTCAAGGTTAATGGAAGAGATTGCCAAACATTCAAGGAATCTGCAAGAGAAAGAGGGTTACTAGAATCAGATAACAACATTTTTGAATGCTTACGTGAGGCAGTTCTCTTCAAAATGCCATTAGCTCTAAGAAATTTGTTTGCAACTATATTGGTACATTGTAATCCAACAAACACTAGAAAACTATGGGACACATATTACGAGAATATGTCAGAGGACTTCGAAGGATACATGAGAGTTCATCTGATACTCAATTGCAGTACACATTGAAGAGCATTAATTATTTCCTAGAAAGCATGGGCAAGAGTGTTGAAAGATATAATTTACCAAAACTTAATCGGAGTCGAGATGATAATGTTACTTCAGAATGCAGAGAGATTACTGAAGAAAAGGCGATACAAGTGGATGAAGAAGACTTCAATACACAATCAAAGCTAAATCCTGAACAAGAACAAGCTTTCAAGACTATATTGCAAAGAGTAGATTCAAGTAGAACATGATTGTTCTTTGTAGATGGGCCCGGAGAAACCGGAAAAACATTCCTTTATCGTGCATTGCTTGCAAATGTCAGATCACGAGGTATGATAGCATTAGCAACATCAACAAGTGGTGTAGCAACAACAATTTTACCAGGGGGTCGTACAACTCACTCTAGATTCAACATGCCTCTGCAAACAAATGAAACTACCATTACGAATATGTCTAAGCAAAGTAGTGGTGCAAAATTAATAAGAAAAGAAAAGTTGATAATATGGGCTGAAGCACCTATGGTAGGGCGTTAGACTATCGAAACATTTGACAGGAGCTTCACAGATATAATGGATATCGATGAACCATTTGGTGGAAAAGTAATGATTTTTGGTGGTGATTTTCGTCAAGTACTACCAGTAGTTCCAAAAGCGACGAGAGTTGAGACTGTAAATGCTAGCTTGGTAAAATCATACTTATGGCCTAAAATACAAAAAATTCAGTTAACAAGAAATATGAAAGCAAGAACAGATCCAGCATTCAGTGTTTTTTTGCTTCACATCGGCAATGGGGAAGAGCATACAATAAAAGATGATATGATCCTCCTCCCTGAGCAATTGGTTATCAAACCTAACGGTAATATTAGTGGTGAAGATCGCTTAATAACAGAAATATTTCCATCATTAAACGAAAATGGAAGTTGTGCAAAGTACATGACAAAAAAAGCTATCTTAGCTAGCAGAAACGAATATGTTGATCAACTAAATGAGATGTTGATTGACAAGTTCCCTGGTGAGAGCAAAATATTTCACAGTTTCGACTCAGCAGAAGATGATACCAACAACTACTATCAGGAAGAATACTTAAATACATTAACACCAAATGGCCTTCCACCGCACAGGTTCGTTGTTAAGTTCAGTATTCCTTATATATATATTACTATCATATTTGTATATAACAGACACAAAAATTCTCACAACATTATTATATCAAATTTGAAATGGGTTAGATTCTAACTCTGTAAATGCTTAAAGAGTTCCCATTGAATTAGGAACCATTACATATTTTTATTTTTATAAATATCACTGTATGCCTTCTTCCTCTTTCCCTCAGTCATAGTTTGTAATTCTTTAAAGGATAATAATTAAAAAAACATGCTTTATGAAGATTTTAATTTCTTTTGACAGCTAAATCCCTTTAGTTTTCTTTTACTTTGTGCACATTATTTTTTTCCTCCAGTTCTTTGTTTCTTTAATGGAAGAGTTGATGATAATCTTATAATTGAAAATTGATTTTCTCTTGCATACAGGTTGATTTTGAAGAAAAATGCGCCCATCATGTTATTAAGAAATATAGATCCGTCAAATGGACTATGCAATGGTACAAGGATGGTATGCAGAGGTTTTGACAACAACGTTATACATGCATAAATTATGATGGGTCAATGTACTTCCAAGCATGTGTCCATTTGACGGATCTATATTTCTTAATAACATGATGGGCGCATTTTTCTTCAAAATCAACCTGTATGCAAGAGAAAATCAATTTTCAAAGCATGTGTCCATCCCCAGAATTCAACTTTCACCTCCGAAAAATGAAGGATATCCTTTTAAATTTGTCCGTAAACAATTTCCAGTACGCTTGTGTTTTGCAATGACAATAAATAAAGCACAAGGACAAACAATTCCGAATGTTGGATTGTATCTACCGCAACATGTTTTCTCACATGAGCAACTATATGTTGCACTTTCAAGAGGAATATCGATGTCCACAACGAAAGTTCTTATCATGACGGAGTAACCAAAGTGTCGGAATGGTACATACACAAAGAATATCGTCTACAAAGAAGTCTTAGGTAAGATATCATCACATTGCATATTCATAAACTATTTGTGCATAATATTATGTCATTACTGACATGACCTAATTGATCATTTTTGCAGGTTCAGGCTATGATATCCAATCAGCTTGAGTTCCCATATTATGCTAATATATGTAATAACATTTCTTGTCATTTTAAATTATAGCGGTTTTACATATACATATATTTTAAGGGTTATTTTATTATTGATATTTATCTTATTCATTTAATTTAGTGTCCCTTCATATAAAGAATTGACTAAACCATCACGTGTCATTATTAACGTGCAACACACGTACATAATAACTAGTATTATATTAAAGCACGAATAGTCTATGCTAAATGTGAACGACAAAAATATTCCAAAAAATTAATCGACTTTTATGACCTTTAATATTTATATAATTTAAGAATATAATTGTAAATCTCCTGGATTTCTTTCCATTCAAACTATAGCTAAGCCGAGCCTAAAAAGTCAATCGTATGAAATCACTTTTGAGTCAAATTCCTTATTCTTCTTCGAATTCCATCGTTTTGGACTTTACCCCTTATCAGCTACTTCTTCTTGGTAGCCTGCTACATGTATTCTTCTACAAACATGTTTAATTGTTTTTCTTTTTGTAGTCTAAAAATGGTTAATATGCTTATGGTATTCTATAAACTAGGGAGAAATTCAAAAATAGCAAGATTTACAACTTGTCGTTCAAAAATACCCCAGTTTCAAAAGTAATCGAAATTTAGCCATTTTTCATGTAAAGATAAATTTGAGCGAAAATAATGTTCAAAACCCGAAAAATAAGCCAGCATATTATACTGGAGTTTCAGCATAAGTATGCTAGAACTCCAGCATAATATACTGGAGTTCCAGCAAGTATAATTGTCCAGTATAATATACTGGAGTTTGGAGCACCGGTGCTCCAGTCTCCAGTATATTATACTGGAGTTAGCAAAGTATACCGGTCCAGCATAATATGCTGGAGTTCATACACAGGTGCACCGAACTCCAGTATATTATGCTGGACTGGTCTCTGTTGTAGCAAAATAGTGGCTATTTTTCATTGACTTCATAAACGCTGTCTATTTTTGAATGACCAGTCCGAAAACTGGTTATACCGTGCTATTTTTACTATAAACTAAAGACAACGAGGAACCAAATTTTGTATATTATAAAATCTTCTTATGGTATTCCATAAATTGGACTCTCCTCACCGCCTGCTTATTCTTGGTAGCCTACTTCTGTAACGATCCGACCGGTCGTTTTGAGCATTTGCACTTTGCTCGCCGGTTCTTGGGCATGAATAGCCCTGTATAATATATTATGACTTACGTAAATCGTCGGTTTTGGTTTTCAGGATAATCAGAATAGATTTGGAAGAATAATTCTCAACTTAAAGCTTTAAATTTGAAAGGTTTGACCAAGTTTTGACTTTTTAGCATTCGATCTCGGATTTGGATTTTTATGATTTGGTTAGCTCTGTTAGGTGATATTGGATTTAGGAGCATGATCGGAATGTATTTTGGAGGTCCGTAGTAGATTTAGGCTTGAATTGGCGAAATTGGCAATTTGGCGTTTTCAGTTGGCAATGAAAATCTTGATATAGAGGTCGGAATGGAATTCCAGAAATTTGAGTAGGTCCGTTGTGTCATTTGGGATGTGTGTGTAAAATTTCAGGTCATCCGAAGGTGATTTGATAGGTTTCGGTGTTGTTTGTGGAATTCGGAAGTTTGGAAGTTTATAGGCTTGAATCCGAGGGTGATTTGGTGTTTTGATGTGGTTTTGGGTGTTCTAAAGGTTTGAATAAGTTTGAATGGTGATATGTGACTTATTGGTACTTTTGGTTGAGGTCCCGAGGGCCTCGAGGTGATTTCGGATGGGTCACGGAAGATTGAAACTTGGAAAATGCAGCAGAAGCTGCTGTGTTCTGTGAATACCGCACATGTGGATTGGGGACCGCAGACACGGGAAGGAAACCGTAGGAGCATAATTTGGAAACCTGAGCCTGGATTGCAGGTGCGGAAGGGGAGCGCACCTGCGAGACCACATGTGCGATATCGTGACCGCATGTGCGGTTTTGGAGGTTTAAGTGACTTCCACAGATGTGGATTTTTGGGTGCAGAAGCGGATGCAGATGCCAGATACTGTCCGCAGATGCGGAAAGTGCTGGGAAGAAAGTATAAAAGCCCCCCTTCGCGATTTTTGGTCATTCTTCACCATTTTTGGCTGGAATTTGAGCTTTGGGTAGTGGTTTTCAAAGGGAATCAATGATTTTCAGCTGGGTAAGTTACTTGGGCTTTATTATTTGTATTTGTGATAATTTTTCCACTGTTTAATCATGAAATTAGTGGAAATTTGGAGTGAAGTTGAAGGGGTTAGGGCTTCAGTTTTTGGGAGCTTTGATTGAGGATTTGATGAGTAGAATGGAGTCGGATTTAGATAAATCTTGTATGTATGGACTCGTGAGTGAAAGGGCTTTCTAGTTTTGTGAATTTTGTCGGATTCTGAGATGTGGGACAGAGGGGGGGGAGGGGAGGGGACGAATTTGGGTGGATTTCGGGATTTTGGTCTAAATTGATAGTTTTTTGTGTGGAATTGGTTTATTGGCCTATATTAACTGCATTGTATTGCTTTTGGTTAGAATCAGGACATTTGGAGGCTGATTCAAGAGGCAAGGGTGTCGTGGGCTAGAGTTTGACTTGGCTTGAGGTAAGTAACGCTTCCAAACTTGGTTTTGAGGGTTCGAAACCCCGAACTATGTGTTCTATGATTACTATGGAGGTGACGCAAATGCCAAGTGACGGGCATGTGGGCGTGCACCTTGAGAATTGCGGCCTGGATCATTCCATGGCACCGCTTAGTAACTCTTTCTTGTTGATATACGTGTTTCTATCATGTGATTAAGTAAATGTGCCGTAAAATCATGCTAGATATCCTGTTAGGGCTTCATGCTGATATTGTTGAGACTCGAGTGGTCGTTTCTTGTTGTCATCTCATTACATTCATTGACATTCTATACTTAGTCTTGCTCATGCATATCATATCATGTCTCAGTCTCAGTTATTATTATTTGGTAGATCATATCATTGTTTTGGGCTAGTTTCATGACATTGTGAGACCGTGTGTGTGAGACTGGAGAGTGATGACTGAGTGAGGCCGAGATCCTGATTGTGAGTGACAGTTACAGAATCGGGCTGCATGCCACAGCGGTTTATTGATATATGCCTTCGTTGGCTTGTGATAGCGCTTACGCTCTAGGAGCCCCTCCGGAGTCTGTAACACACCCCCAGTGAGCGCAGTTGATTACATTTAGGGATGGATCTTCCCATGGTATGGAGATGGATCTTCTCAATGAGGCTGGTTGGCTTATTCCTCGATATCGGAGACCGATGGTCTGTGATGTATATATACTCCGGGATGGATCTTCCCTGGGCCGTGTGAGCCATATACAGTACTGAGTAGACTAGCATTTGAGATTGTGGGCACATGAGGCACTCTGCATGGTGCATTTCATACAGCATGTGCATTGGCATGTCGACGTAGCATAGTTACACTTCCTTACCCTGTATATACCTGCTCTGTATTACTGTTCGAACTATCTATTTAACTGAAAGCATACCTACGTTTCTGTACATTATTTCTGTTCCATTTGATAAGGTTGAGTTCGTCTCTACGTATCAGTCCAAAGGTTGGAGTTGTTACTTACTGATTTGGTGTACTCACGTTACCCCTGCATCTTGTGTGCAGATCCAGGTATCTCAGGCTACGATAGTAGTTGACGATCCTTTTCGTCATGGACTTTCATAGGAGATAGCGAGGTAGCTGCCTGGCGATCGCAGTCCCGCCTTTCTCCTTTCTATTCTTCCTCTTAGTGTATTTGTTGGCTATTTTCATACTATATTAGTCTTGTTTTATTTCGAACAGCTGTAGTATTTTGCTCATGACTTACTAACACCCGAGGTAGGGCTTGTATTTTCTGCTTTGTTTTGATTTTTACTTTATATCTTTTATCGGATTTCAGCTGAAAACATGGTTTTGCTTAAGTTTTAAATAAAATATGGGTTATTTTGAAATGAGTTGGTTGGCCTAGTTTTACGATAGGCGCCATCACGACCGGGTCGGTTTTAGGGTCGTGACAAGTTGGTATCAGAGCCTAGGTAACATAGGTCTCACAAGTCATGAGCGGGTTTAGTAGAGTCTCGCGGATCGGTATAGAGACGTTTATACTTATCTTCAGGAGGCTGCAGAACCTTTAGGAAAACTTCACATTCTTGAATTCTTATCATGCGATATTGATTCAGCTTGAAATGTAACTCTTTAAATTCCTTCCACACGTTCGTATGCACATATGAGCGCTCGGTATCAGTTGTGTATTGATGGCTTGTGATTCCTTGATCGAGGGGCCAGATGTGACTTCTCTGTGTTGATGTTGGGCCAGTCTGAAGGACTTGAGGCCGGGTTTTGCCTATAGCTTGAGCACTGAGGCATTGATTGTGTGAGCATGTGCTACTGGAATTATATGTTTAGTAGTGTCCCTACTAGTGAAAGTGCTGACGGGATGGCTATGTGATGAGTATGATATGACTGCGAGATATGTTCATATGATTTGAATGTGACAAGAAAGGTTTGCTTGAGGATAGAAAGAATTATTTGGTGCTTGATTTCCATCTTGATTTGATGTATAGCCCCGAGTTATGGGTGTGTGAATGATCTTTTCATGTTGTCTAGTTGGGGGATGGAGTATATTTCATATTGCGATATGAGTTAAGACTCACAAAGATTAAGTGATTGTGGGATATTTATGACGGTGGAAGGGCATGAAGAGATGTCAGTTTAAGGCAAAGCAGGTGAGTTAACTCCCGCGGGGTGTTCTGAGGTTTGTGTGACCCCTATGTTGTCGGTTGGAAGTCCTCTTTACCAGTGAAGTATATGTGTGTTGATGCAATTTGAGCTTGGGTCGCTTATGGGAGTGGGCTCATCGGTTACAAGGATGAATGTGAGATTTGTAGATGATTTGAAGTACTAGACAGTTTGTGTTGCACGAGCTTATAAAAGATTTAGTTTAACCTCACCATGGTATTATGGCAATAGTAGAGTACGGGAATTGTGAGTTTAG